CCCTCCGCCCCCTCCCCCCTTCTCCCAAGGGTCCCTGTCCCCCTCCCCCCGCAATCCCGAGGGACCCACCCCCTCCCCCCGGGGGTCCCCGCGTCCTGGCACCGGCCCCGTGGGCCGTATCGCGGGGGGCTGCGAGGGCCCCTGCCCATTTCCTCGCGTTCGGTCCTCGGCCACCGCCCCTCGGCCGCCTTTGTTCTCTGCCGGCGGCCTCACGCTCTCCGCCGCTCCTGAGCCACCTGCCAGGGAGTCAGTCAGCGACATCCTCCGCTGCTGTCGTTTGAAAAGTTGATGCACATCCACCTCCCTGCCTGTGGAGATCGTACGGTGTGAGAACGGCTCAGATTCAGCTTTTGCACGCGCGTAACTTTGCGGTGCAATGTGCAGCAGCCTGCTCCTGAGACCCTAGAAGGCAGCCGGGTGGTCCGGGCACGCAGGGGGAGCTCCCTAACGCTGCTGCGCTGGGGCCGCTCCTGACCTCTCTGGGCCTCTTGTCTCATCTGTAAAGTGGGGAGAAATCCTGAATCCTCCGGATTATTGCAAAGGTCATAGTCCAATGGTAGGCTGACAAAAGACACTGACGGGACGGGAAGCGTTTTATTTGGACTAATTTACACTAAGTTGGTAGAGACTTCACCTGGTCACTTCTAGGATTTCTCACACACGTTAGCAACTGAACCTTAAAAGAACGTGGCAGATAGTTGTGATGACAAGGGTACCAGAAATTGGTTGCAGTTGACCTCTCAGCAGACATTTTAGTATCTGAGGGTGGAGAGGACTTGCTTCAGGCAATAGACACATGACTTCCCTTTCGTTATTTTTGCCTACACTCAGCCAACAAACGTTTGGAAAGGAAAAGTGAAGAGATGAAGGACCTACTTTGACTCTCCCAGCCCACCCATTCCCGACTCTCCACTCCCATCAGCTCAGAAATGGCACCAAGAGCTGGAGACTCACACAGGGCCCCTAATTTAAACTTTGCTTTCACTCACAACCTCAGTCAGACCAGCTCCCCGTTTCCCTACCCACTGAAGAAAATAGCCTGTCTGAATCCACCAGGAAAAATCAACAACTTTCTCCCAAATTCTCTTAACTGATCAGGGCCCTTACTCAGATTCTTTAGATGGAATTTAACATTAAATGTACATACATATATATTCAGAATATACATTCATTTATTTCGGTCCACTCTCTTCCCTTGGGTATTCTGTCTCTAGATCAGATGCAAGTTTAAAACTCTTCATTCCAAGTCAACAGATACCGACTCAGCCCTTCAACGTGCAAGGCAAGCCAGAATATTAAGGAGACACTCTTGTGGATTACAATCCCTCTCCAGTTTCAACACTGAAAGAATATGACACAAATATATAAATGTATTTAAAGGCAGTTTAGGTGGGAAAAAATTTACTTGCAAGTACAAAAGTTAAGATTTTAAGGTTGACATAGAATTTGAAAAGTATCTTAAGAGACTGGGGTAGGACAATTCCAGGTCAATGTACAATTGGAAGTGGAAATAGGGTTTCAAGCCTGAAAAAGACTGAGAGATGGAAAAATAAGAAGCAGATTTAAGCACATCAGCCATTCCAGTGTGGGTTGAGAGTAGGGTAAATGAAGGCAGATTCCAGGAGTTAGGGGTGAGATATACAGGGCAGTGGCATGATGCAATGGTGAGAACAAAGATCAAGGGCTAATTTGGGGGGGCACCTGGGTGGCTCAGTCGACTGAGCATCTGACTTTTGATTTGGGCTCAGGTCTTGATCTGAGGGAGGTAAGATCCAGCCCCTCATGGGGCTTCCCGCTCAGTGTGGAGCCTGCTTGGGATTCTCCCTCTCCCTCTGCCCCTCCCTCCTCCCGCTCTTAAAAAAAAAAAAAAAATGTAAGATTGTGATCAGTACCAACTGTGCCACTTAAGAGCTGTGTGATCCATAATGGGTTAAGTTTTTAACCTCTCTGAAACTCCATTTCCTCATTTGCAGGATTAAAATAATAATGTCCATCCAATTATTTCACAAATATTTTATGAAAAGCAACTATGAACTAAGAATTATGTTAGGTGATAGATATATAAGGAATCATTCATTCATTCATCACATACTACCTTACTACGTACTAAGTTGGAAATAAGTGGAAAAGGAGTAGGAAACTAAGCGACAGGTACTGTAAACCGAGAGGATAATGTTTCAAAAAGAGGGACGGTCAACTATGTCAATTGAGAGGTTGAATAAGATGAGGACAAAGAAATGTCCATTGTATTTAGCAATCTGGGGGTAATGAGCAAACTTAATTATTTTGAGCTGTTTCTAAGGAGTGGCAACTTCAGAAGCAACCTGAAGTCCCTTGAGGAGGGAATGGGAGGTTAATACGTGAAGTCTGTGCCAAGGATCTGAGAAAGAAGGTAGCTGGAGAAGTGGGCTGTTGTCTTTAAGGTGGGACACAGGGGAACAAGCTCGAATGCCAAGGAGGGGGAACAGAGGGGGCATCAGGTGCAGGAGCTAGGGAGGCAGCTCTGGGGAGGCCAGAAGCCAGCACAGGTGCTGGGCGAGCCCTTGACAGCAAGAAGCACAGTCTGTCCACTGTGACAAGACGGAAGACAGAACGTGGCTGCAGATGCCTTGAGACTTGGTGGTGAAAAACTTGAAAGATTTTCCTCTGATACTTTTTCTTTCCTGAATGAAATAGGAGGTGAAACCACCCATGGAAGTGAGGAGAGGAATAAGAAGGTAGTGGGGAGAGGTAGGAGAGCAAAGTTCCTAGGATGCCAAATGGTTTGCCTGCTGCAGGTTTTTGGTGGAGAGCTTCAAGGGAAACCAGTCGGTCTGGCTTTTCCATCTTCTCAAGTTTACCTACTTGAATTCAGGCTATGAATATGCATTTCCTTCAGGAAGGGGTTTTCCCAGATAAGTAAGAGGGGTAAAGGAATTTGAGTGTGTTTGTAAGGGAGAGATTATAAAATGGGTTATTGCATCGACTGGAGATTTCAGTAAGATTCTACAGGTGCTGAGCCCTATGGACAGAAAATGATGGTATAAAAATAACCTGCTTGAGTCCGAGATTTGAGAGGTCATACTGCTATTGATGACAGCAGAGTCTACAGTTTGAATCAAGGAGGAGATGACCAAGGTGGGCTAGAGGAAAAGGTCACCAAATGTGTGTTGGTCAAGGAATCAGGAAGCTAGAGCACAGACTTCCTAGTTTTCATGAGAGCACAGGACTGTAAAAATGACCACAGAAGCTGAGACCGTGCAAAGTGATCTTAATAATCAGAAAATTTGTAATTGCCCAAAACTTTTGGTAAAACATTTAAAACTCCCTTACTGCCAATTATAAATGTACAGAGAATTTTTTTAATTGTAAAACTAATGTTTAGTACACCATAAATACAAAAAACACTGAGAATTAGTGCTTTATTTCTGTGTAAAATCTTTACCAAGAGTAGTTTGAACAGTGCATGCCTTCTCCTACTATCACTTAAACTTTTTTGTGCCTTGATAAATTGTCATACTCCTTCCAGCATTTGATGTTTGGCATTTTCAGTAAAATATCTCCAAGTGTCCTTAACGTGAAGTTATCATCAGTGTCTCTTCATCCTTTGTCACAACCACCTGCTCTAACTGATCTGTGCAATCTGGGTGCAGGTTTCCCAGCAGCGCCTGGTCTGGCCCAGTAGCTTAACCAGAGCTCAACACTAACCAACCCCATGGGTCTGTGAAAGGAAAACCAGACTTCACTGCAGTAAAAGCTTGCTTTTCAGTCTCTCTGTAATTACAGTTTTCTTTTGACATGACAACTAACGTCAACTTTTGGCCTGAACGCTAGCCAGACCCAGTGGGATTTGTCATTATTATGACTGTCTTCTATCCAAAGTAGATGGAAGTCTTGTTGACCACATGCAGTTTTCTGTTTCTAGAGCAGTTTAAAAGATGTTGATCCAATGTGACCACGCTCTTTCTCCTTGTTGGACAGTACTTTCGTGCAGGCTGAGGTCTCATTGTCTTGGCTTCACTCTTGTCGTTTTCAAATTTCCTAATCACGTCCAATTACATTTTTAGCTCCTCATTTATTTCTTTGATGCACTTTCAACTTTTTTGTCAAACACTGTAACAAAAAATTTTAATGTAAAACGGAATTTTCTTTTTATGGTCCATTTTTGTGAAACATCCTGTGGGTCTCTCACTGGGAGACAAGGAGGCAACACAGCTACACACTTTGCTGTCTGTGTTGTGGCCCGAAGCACTGAATAACTGGGGTGCAGTGACCAATCCCTGACGGGCCTTGAGAGGAGGACCCACGCATGGGGGTCACCGGTGTGGTGATTTGTGGGCTGAGCACTGGCTGTGAGGTCTGTCCTTGATGTACTTGCTCAGTCAGTGTAGCAGAGTCGTTGAAATTTGAGTCGTGCTGTTGGGGGACTGGTGTTTCTTTACTAGACTGTGGCAATCAAAGTTTGTTCATACCAGAACTGTGCCCATGCGGGGGACTGCCTTACTGGAAGGGCATCGAAGTCACAAAGAATGGTAGCAGGAGTCAAGGGAGTTGGGGGCTGGGGTCCCCTAGCTCTTGTCTTCAAGTGATGAGAAGGAACAAGCCAGGGGCTGTGGGCAG